CGGCCTCCCAGAGTGCTAGGATTACAGGCGTGAGCCACCACGCCCGGCCTAGATTTTTTTTTAAATGAAATTTCCTGACTGTTTAAATGTTGTCACCTAGAGAAATGAAATCACTGTTTGAATCAAAGCATGATCGCTGGCTGCCAGTGTGCAACCTTCAACCGGCCTTTACTGCACCTCTGCCACGTACTTCACACAGGTTACCTTGCCTAATTCACTTGGTTCCTCCCTCTGCCCCTCTCCCTGTGGTGTGACCTCTAGTGACATGGCCTGCTTACCTGTCCACTCCTTAATTAATTAATTAATTTATTTTTTGAGACAGAGTCTCGATTTGTTGCCCAGGCTAGAGTGAGTGCCGTGGTGTCAGCCTAGCTCACAGCAACCTCAAACTCCTGGGCTCAAGCAATTCTGCTGCCTCAGCCTCCCAAGTAGCTGGGACTACAGGCATGTGCCACCATGCCCGGCTAATTTTTTTTCTATATATATTAGTTGGCCAATTAATTTCTTTCTACTTATAGTAGAGATGGGGGTCTCGCTCTTGCTCAGGCTGGTTTTGAACTCCTGACCTCGAGTGATCTGCTCGCCTTGGCCTCCCAGAATGCTAGGATTACAGGTGTGAGCCACCACGCCTGGCCTCCAATTATTTTTTATTGAGCTAAAATACACACAACATAAAATTTACTATCTTAACCATTTTTAAATATACAGTTCAGTGGCATTAAGTACATTCACTTTGTTGTGTAACCATCACCACCATCCAGCTCCAGAACCTTTTCATCTTGCAAAACTGAAACTCTATATTATTAAACAATAATTTCCTATTTTCCCTTTTCCCCAGAAAACACCATTCTACTTTCTGTCTCTAGAATTTTGACAATGTTGAGGATTTCATATGAGTAGAACGATACAGCATTGCCTTTTTGTGACTAGTTTATTTTATTTAGCATAATGTCCTCAAGATTCAGTCATGTTGTAGCAGACCTTCCTTTTTCAGGCCAAATAATATTCCACTGTATGTATTGTACATCGATAGACATTGGGTTGCTTCCACGGTTTAGCTATCGTGAATAACGCTGCTGCGTACATGGATGTGCAAATACCTCTTTGAGACCCTTGCTCATCTCAATTTATACCTCCCCCATGAAGCCATTTCTCAATCTTCTTAATCTCCATGACTTGACCAGCCTCTGCTTTGTTCTAACAGCCAGTTCATGGGGGATACTGGGCCCTGCTGGTCCAGATGAGGGCAGACACACTAACACACTCCACACCTATGCAGCAGAGCTGTGTAGAGCATGAGCAGATGGGGAGGGTAGCAGTGGACTTTGGCTGGAAAGCCAGAGGAGTCTTTTTGAGCTGGAACACGGAGTAAAAGTAGGGGCTTCCAGGGGCGAAGGGGCATTTGAGGTAGAGGCTACTCTGCTTGTGCAAAGCATGCTGGGGCAATCACAGGGATAAGGAGCAGTTTGGGGACCAAAGTGTTTTGTTGTAGTATCTGAATCCCTGCTGCCTGCACTCTAGACTTCAAGCTCCACACTTGCCACCTGAGACTACTCCCCTCAAACCCTTGTGGGAGGCCGGGCGTGGTGGCTCACACCTGTAATCCTAGCACTCTGGAAGGCTGAGGCGGGAAGATTGCTTGGGGTCAGGAGTTCCAGACCAGCCTGAGCAAGAGGGAGACCCATCTCTACTAAAAATAGAAAAAAATTAGCCAGTCAGTTAAAAATAGAAATAACGAAAAATTAGCCGGGTGTGGTGGCTTGCGCCTGTAGTTCCAGCTACTCAGGAGGCTGAAGCAGGAGGATCGCTTGAGCCTAGGAGTTTGAGGTTGCTGTGAGCCAGGCTGATGCCATGGTTCTCACTCTAGCCAGGGCAACAGAGTGAGACTCTGTCTCCAAAAAAAAAAAAAAATAAGGCCAGGCGAGGTGGCTCACGCCTGTAATCCTAGCACTTTGGGAGGTTGAAGCAGGAGGATCACTCAAGGTCAGGAGTTTGAAACCAGTCTGAGCAAGAGTGAGACCCTGTCTCTACTATAAAGTAGAAAGAAATTAATTGGCCAACTAATATATATAGAAAAAATTAGCCGGGCATGGTGGCGCATGCCTGTAGTCCCAGCTACTCAGGAGGCCAAGGCAGCAGGATTGCTTGAGCCCAGGAGTCTGAGGTTGCTGTGAGCTAGGCTGATGCCACAGCACTCACTCTAGCCTGGGCAACAGAGTGAGACTCTGTGTCAAAACAAACACAACCCTTTCGGGAGATACCAGGGCACCCGGGCATGGTGAGGGCGCCCCCTAGTGCTCCCTGTCAGCTCCTGCCACTAGAGGTGACCCAATGATGCCCTCTGTGCCTCCCCGCAGCTGTTACTGGTGAGGGCGCTTGGCCTGGCATCCTCTTACTTGCTCTCTACCCCTCCCTGAGGGGATGTTCACTTTGGGCCAACAAACACTTAGAAAGCACGTACTTTGTGTTCATCACTGTTCTAGACATAGGGATAGTTTGAGGCATTAATCATCCCAGCCCTGGAAGTGCTCACAGACAACTAAGGGACAATGGGGGTTGTTCTTGGTGTTGGGGGGACCAGAGGAAGGATTGAGTCTGCTTTGAGCCTCAATGGACAGAGGAGTGACAGAGTAGGGGGTTACAAAGGAAAACACCGTGCCCTGTGAAATGTAAGAGAGCAAATGAGCCCCAGCCCTGGCCATCTGCTCAACATTTACTACAAAACCACCATTCGCTGAGGTCATGGAGGGAGCATGAGGTGCCGGTGACCCAGAGAGGACTAAGACACCATTTGCAGCTCTGGAGGCTCACAGCCTGGCTGCAAGACAGACAAGTAAAGGAAATAAGAGGTGCTCTGTGCTCAGGGTCCTGTTAGCAGACACAGGGGTGAGCAGCAAGGAGTATCTGCCACCTAGGGGTGCGTGGCGGCGTTTTTTTGTTTGTTTATTTGTTTTGTTTTATTTGAGACAGAGTCTCACTTTGTTGCCCAGGCTAGAGTAAGTGCCGTGGCATCAGCCTAGCTCACAGCAACCTCAGACTCCTGGGCTCAAGCAATCCTACTGCCTCGGCCTCCTGAGTAGCTGGGACTACAGGCATGCACCACCATGCCCGGCTAATTTTTTGTATATATATTTTTAGTTGGTCAATTAATTTCTTTCTATTTTTAGTAGACGGGGTCTCGCTCAGGCTGGTCTCGAACTCCTGACCTTGAGCAGTCCGCCCGCCTAGGCCTCCCAAAATGCTAGGATTACAGGCGTGAGCCACCACGCCCGGCTCGTGGGGGCGTTTTGAGCTTAGGCTGAGGGATAAGAAAGTGGGAGGTGGTCCAGGTGAGAACAACAGGTACAAAAACACAGAAGTGCTACCCACCAGAAGGAAGCCCATCCTAGTGTGCTAGGAAGGTTCTGCTTCTTGATTTGGGCGCTTGCCTCAGAGGTGTGTGCCGTTATGGAAACTCACTGAGCTGTACACTTGTGACTTCATCTACGCACATGCACATCAGTTGTACTTCCATTGCTTAAAAGCAGCCCCCAACATCTTTTGAAAGACAAGACTAGACTGTGGAGCCATACTGTTAGGTTCGGGATCCAGTCCTCCCATCCCAGCTCCAGGACCTTGGGGACTCTATCTCAGAGTCAGCTTCCTCACCTGTAAAAGAGGGATAACAGTACCTGCAGCACAGAGCTGTGCTGAGCCGACAGTTTGAGGTATGTAAAGCATTTAAATAGTGCTTCCTATGTGCTTCTCTTGAAAGTGCCAAATTTCTAATGATTGGCAGTGCCTGGCACAGAGAAGCTCAATATAATTTGTTGAATAGATGAAGGAACAAATTAGAAGTGTGATTTTTTTTTTTTTCTACACCAGAAAGTGGCTTGAACAAGTGCAGGGGTGTGTTTTTTTTTTTTTTTTTTTCTACACCAGAAAGTGGCTTGAACAAGTGCAGGGGTGTGGGTTGGAGTGGAGAACCCCCCCTAGAGGCTCCTAGCAGGAGAGCAGGGGCTGCATTCCTGAGCAGAAGCTGAGGCTTCTGTGGGTGGGGAAGGAGAATGGCCAGTGACTTGAGCCCTGTCACTTGGGCCCTATTTGGCGGAGATTAGAGCCCTGGGTCAAGCCTGTGTGCCCCCATCCCCAAACGCACACTAAGGCTCGCCCCAGCAACTGCACAGGCTGCGGAGAGGCTCAGACCAGGAAGGAATAATGAATGCTACACACAGCTTTGTGGCCTCCCTGCACCCCTTCCTCCTATGGCCCTCTCACCCCTCCCCTCTAGTGGTCAAACTCCGCACTTCTCCCCACCCTCAGGGGCCAGGGCAGTTTCGGGAGAGGTGGGAAAACCGGCTCAACAGGGTGGCCAAAGCCTGAACCGGTTAGACAGGGCAGCCCCATCTCCCCCCAGCAAACTTGTCCTTCTCCTGGCCCACAGAACAGAGGCAGAAACCCCACAAAAACAAACCATTTTATTGCATTGTGGGTGGACTGGAGCGGTGGGAAGCTGAGGAGGGGGTGAGGGTGTGGGATGCAGCTGAGGCTCTTCTGGCTCTGGCCGTCCAGGCCAGGGTGGGGCTGGTCATGGGCAGAGAGCTCAGTCTTGGGAGAAGAGGAAGGGAGGAGGCAAAGCATTCCTGTCACCCACTTCATGGCATTAAATAAACACAAAACATCTTTTTTTTCTTTTCTTTTTAATAAAATTAATTCTTTATTACTTTTTTCCTTTCCTCTTCTTGAGGGAGTTAATACAGCTGTACTTTTTTTTTCTTTTGAGACAGAGTCTTGCTCTGTTGCCCGGGCTAGAGTGAGTGCCGTGGTGTCAGCCTGGCTCACAGCAACCTCAGACTCCTGAGCTCAAGCAATCCTCCTGCCTCAGCCTCCCTAGTAGCTGGGACTACAGGCATGCGCCACCATGCCCGGCTACATTTTTCTATATATTTTTAGTTGTCCAGCTAATTTCTTTCTATTTTTAGTAGAGATGGGGTCTCGCCCTTGCTCAGGCTGGTCTTGAACTCCTGAGCTCAGACTATCCTCCCACCTCGGCCTCCCAGAGTACTAGGGTTACAGGCGTGAGCCACAGCGCCTGGCCACAAAGCAACTCTTTACAAAGCAACTCTTTACAGCACAAACTATATAGGGAAGTCCTTCCTCCCAGCCCTGGACTTCCACAGAGTGGAAGAGAATCTCTGGAGGACAGGGTTGGGCCTTCTGCTTCTGTCACCACCCCAGGCCCCTTCCCAGTGCCCCAGGGCAGGGGCAGGCAGCTCTGAACAGGAAACAAAACTCCAGTTTCTTCCAAACTCCTCCTGGGCAGGCAGGTCCATCTGTGTACCATACTTCTGGCCCAAGGTTTTTCTGGTCCCCCAGACCCTGAGTTTTCTCAGGACCTGAGCTTAGCTTAGATTCCTCCAAGAGAGGCTAGAGTCCGGGCGTTTGACACAGAGTGGGCCTGGGAAACACGCAGTGGGAGTCTGGTCCTAAAGTTTTCCCCAGCCCAGGCCTCTGCCTTGGCAAGTAGAAAGCAGGGCCATGTGAGAGCTGGCGAGAGACCCAGGCTCAGAGGGGTTGGGTGGTGTGATAATAGACCAGATGCTCCGTGTCCTCGGCAGTGGAGACGGTGGAGCTGGCGGGGGTGGGCAGTGGCTCGTGGCGGTGTCGGGGGAAGTCTTTTCTCTTGTTCTTGAAGAAGCAGTAACCCAGGATGGCTACCATCACCACGATGCAGGTGGTCAGGAGCACGGCGACGGCCATCTCCACAATGCCTGGAGGAAGAAGGGGCGAAGCGAGAGGCTCCCAGGGCCTGCCTGGTTCTGACACCCACCCCCACTCTGTGGAAGGGACCAAGTCAAATGGATGCCAGGTGTGGAAGGACACAGGCACCCAACTCGGACCTCCGACACATGAGCGACTGAATGGCTCCATCCAGGAGCCCAGGGGGATTCTGCTGGGCCTCAGGACTCAGCTCCAAGTGGCTACCTTTACAGGTGGCTTGGGGGAAGTCCTGGAACTCCGATGGCAGACCTCTGGCATGCACTTTACTAGACTTCCCTCCCTTGCCCGTGGCAGGCATCACTATTTGATTGTGGCACTGTCTCTATGGGCAACCTCAGGATCCTTCTCAACACAGGTGTAGACAGTCACAACCAATCAGGGGGAGTTGATTCCTTGAGCTGATACCTAAACGTCAACCTTGGTAACAGGACAGACCAGGGCTTACCTACACCGGGAATGGGGCTTTCCCGCCGCAGCCCAAACACATCCTTCTCTGCAAAATGATGAGGTAGAGACCAGTCAGCACTAAGGGCTCTGGGACTCAGCTGCTCCCAGTGCCCCAGACCCCCACTGCCATTGTCTCCCACCCTGACTCCAGGCACTCTGAGAAGGGAGGTGTGACCCACCCAGGACTTCTGACAGAGAAGAGTGTGCTAGCTACACCTTTCCCCTCCACACCTCCACCCTGCCATTGCCCCGCTCACTGGAGATGCCACGACAGGACTCAAGACACTGCTGCTCTTCCTCAAAGTTGTTCTTGTTGCCATAGCAGCCACCATAGGTAAATCGGGCACAGCTTTCATTGAAGGGGTTGTAGTACCAGCGCGGGATGCTCTCCTGGCAGAGTCCCGTCTCTGGCAGGTCCACACAGTGCCCTGGGGAGTAAAAAGCAGACCAAGTGGCAAGTGAGTCCCCAGGGCATCCTGCCACCATCTGCCAGGCTCCACACAGCTGCTGCCCACCACCTCCTGACCCGCCTTGTGCTCTGGGCAGCTGTGGCTGAGGGCCTGAGAGGCCCCAGAAACAGCTGGCCCATCTGCAGTGTTGCCAGAAGCAAGGAAGACAAACCCTGGACAATAATCTTAGGCACGGGCTGGGTGTGGTGGCTGACGCCTGTAATCCTAGCACTCTGGGAGGCCCAGGTGGGTGGATTGCTCAAGGTCAGGAGTTCAAAACCAGCCTGAGCAAGAGCAAGACCCCATCTCTATTAAAAATAGAAAGAAATTTGGCTGGGCACAGTGGCTCACGCCTGTAATCCTAGCACTCTGGGAGGCCGAGGCAGGCGGATTGCTTGACGTCAGGAGTTCGAACCAGCCTGAGCAAGAGCGAGACCCCATCTCTACTATACATAGAAAGAAATTAATTGGCCAACTAATATATATAGAAAAAATTAGCCAGGCATGGTGGCGCATGCCTGTAGTCCCAGCTGCTCAAGAGGCTAAGGCAGGAGGATTGCTTGAGCCCAGGAGTTTGAGGTTGCTGTGAGCTAGGCTGACGCCATGGCATTCACTCTAGCCTAGACAACAAAGTGAGACTCTGTCTAAAAAAAAAAAAAAAAAAAAAGAAAGAAATTAATTGGACAACTAAAAATACACAGAAAAAATTAGCCGGGCATGGTGGCACATGCCTGTAGTCCCAGCTACTCGGGAGGCTGAGGCAGTAGGATCATTTGAGCCCAGGAGTTGAGGTTGCTGTGAGCTAGGCTGATGCCATGGCACTCTAGCCCGGGCAACAGAATGAGATTCTGACTCAAAAAATAATAATAATCTTAGGCATGAACGTAAACTACACTGGCTAACAGTCTCGTTTCCTAGGATAGAGTGCAGAGTGCAGTGGCATCATCATAGCTCACTACAACCTCAAACTCCTGGGCTGGAGCGATCCTCCTGCCTCAGCCTCCCGAGTAGCTGGGTACTACAGGTGCACATCATCACGCCTGACTAATTTTTCTATTATTTTTGTAAAGATGGGGTCTTTGTGTCTCACTCTTGCTCAGGCTGGACTTGAACTCCTGGCCTCAAGCAATCCTCCTGCCTCAGCCTCCCAGGGTGCTAGGATTACAGGCGTGAACCACCATATACCCAGCCTCTTTTTCAATCTTCTTTCACCTTTTCTGACTGTGTCAAGGACTCAGTTTTCTACACAGGGAGGTTTACCTTTTTAACAAATAGGATGGGTCTCAGAGTCCAAGCCTTGGCAGGCAACGATATCCAGCTAAAATTTATTAACATTGCTTTACTGTATTTATTTTTATCATTATTTTCAATGTATGGCAAGTAATAGTGGCTTCCCATTTATGGTAGTGATGTGAAATTTCCATTTCAATTATTAAGTTTATTTTATTTTATTTATTTTTATTTAAAGTCTGTCTCCCCTGCTAGAGTGCTCTGGCTATAGTGCTGTGGTATCATCATAGCTCACTGCAACCTCAAACTCCTGGGCTCAAGGCATCCTTCTGCCTCACCCTCCCTAGTGGGACTACAGGCATGCACCCCAATCTCAATTATTAAGTTTAAAAAAGTACTTGACTGGCCAGGCATGGTGGCTCACGCCTGTAATCCTAGCACTCTGGGAGGCCGAGGCGGGATGGTTGCTTGAGGTCAGGAGTTCCAGACCAGCCTAAGCAAGAACAAGACCCCATCTCTACTAAAAATAGAAAGAAAGTAACCAGACAACTAAAAAATAGAAAAAAATCAGCCAGGCGTGGTGGCACATGCCTGTAGTCCCAGCTGCTCAGGAGGCTGAGACAGAAGGATTGCTTGAACCCAGCAATTTGAGGTTGCCGTGAGCTAGGCTAACATCACGGCACTCTAGCCCGGGCAACAGAGCGAGACTCTGTCTCAAAACAAAAAAAAAGTACTTGATTAAATAAATAACATCTCGGTAATACATGATGGGCATGGCTAAGGTTATGAAGCTGTTCAGAGAATGAGTGATGCTTGGAAAACACAGAGCCACAGAAGACAGCCCAGGAGCCAGCTGAGGAACAGGCCACTCATCTGGAGAACTGGGGAGTCCACCCTGGCTCTTTGTGCCCACAGCCTGGCACACACAGCAGGCCCCACAGGCACTGCTGGATCAAATGAGTGAGGATGGCAGCCCTGACCCAAAGATCTCACCCTTGTCACTGTGGAAATGGATGCTCTGGAGCTCGTCAAAGCCACTGGTATCTGCAGAGATGAAAGGTCAGAGGCTCTGCCCAGGGGCACAGGGCAGAGCCATCAGGGCCTCCAAGTCTGCTGCCTACTCCCTCCATCCCCCAGGCCTCACATTTTTCACAGCTGGCCTCATCAGAGGCGTCAGGGCAGTCAGGGGTGTTGTCACACTCCAGGAAACTGTCGATGCAGCAGCCATCATTGCAGTGGAACTGGGTGGAGTGACAGGTGCCAGAGCACACTGGGTCGGGGTGGGACAGAGTGGGGGTGAGGTCAGGCTCAAGCACAGAGCAAGTGCCAAGGGCTCATCATCTACCTCGCTCTCCCTACCCTGACACGGCATCATGACACGGACACGGCCCCCATTCCCTTTCTACCAACCCGAATGCTCCTGCGAGTGGACTGGGCAGATCCCAATAGGAGGATGCTGGGCTGGGATGGGTGGGATGTTTGTGGTTCTTCCATATACTATGGGGGGAGGAATGGGTTGGGCCAAGGCAGGTTGGCCAAGGGATGGATGGGCTGGAGACCTGGCAGAGGTGAGGGGAATAGGGAAAAGAGTAAAGCTCACCTGGATGGTGCCTTTCCATGGAGGGGCCTGGGAGAGAGAGAAGAGAGAAGTGAGAGAAAGCATGGCCAGGCTCCAGCAGGGACAAGATGACTGGGGGTACCCATCTCCCTTACCAGGGAAGAGAGACCACCCACCCTGGGGGAAAGCCACCTCTCAAAGGCCCACCTTGCACATCCCGGCAGGCTAGCATACACTCCTCTTCCCGAAGGTAGTTGTTCTTGTTGCCTAAGCAACCTCCATACGTGAAGCTCTTGCACATCTGTTCTGTGGGGTCGTAGTACCAGCGGGGAAAGGAGCCCCGGCAGCGGCCCACCTTGTTGGATGCGAGGCAATAGTCTACAGGAGAAGAGCTTGTAAGGGGGCCTGCGGGGCCTATCTGCAGAGGGGGGGTGGCTCCGGGCACTGCCTCCCCACCTCTTCCTCACCTTCTGTCTGCTTAGCAGACAGCACAATGACAGTGAGGTTGGCCGTGTCCTCCGGCTGATCTGAGTCAGTCACTGTCAGCTGGAACAGGTAGGTGCCTTCCTTGAGTCCCCACAGCTCGACCTGGTCCGGATCTTTCCTCTACACACAGGAGTGGCCATCAGGCTTGGGCACCTGCTGATGCCCTCAGGCCACCCCAGGCCCTCTCAGCCATCCCCGAACACCCTAGGGAGAGCAGAGGGACTTGGCATTAAATGTACCCTCAGCTACTCTCCACCCCATCTGGAACCACCGGCCTGTGGCCCCAGAAAGGGGCTCCAGGAGGCTAAGGGGGTGTCAGGGAGTCAGCCCAGTATCTTACCTCTACCCTGACGTCTGTGTCACCTTGCAGTAGGTGCCAATCTGCATGGTCCACATCCTTCAGCACCAGGGGTTCCTGGGGCTGTACCTTCAAGTCTATGCCTGCCCAGACCTTGGGGATCCGGGACCCTGGGGGAAGGGTGAGGTAAAGTCAACTCTCACTGAATGGACCAGGGGTGAAGTCCGGCCATGTCAGTATGGGCCACACCTAGACCTACTTGAGACTTGGCAGCCTGCGTGGGGTACAAGTGGGAGTTCATGACAAAACCAGCTTATTACTGTCTAGTCACACATTATGTCTCTGGTATACTGAAGACATTTTGATGTTGTGAAACCCTCTTTCTGAAGCAAACTACTGACCAGCATGTGCCATCTGATCTCATTTAGGGAAAAAAACATAGATAGATATTTGAGGGGGTGGGCTTATTCCTATTTTCTACAATAACCAAGTACTTGGGCTAATTGCTTTAAAAAGTTAAAGTAACAATTTTTTAAAAAGCCAAATAAGGAAATGTGTGATTAATACCCATTACCCTTCACTCCACTGTCCAGATTGCTACTGAGAAGCCCAGCTGGACGGAGGCCTTAAGCACAGAGTCCCCAGGGAAACAATGTAGCAAGTCTTGGTGCCCTAGGACGAGTGGCCAGGGGAAGAGGGTGCCTCTGGCACCTCAGGCAGACTCTGTCTCCAGTTATGACGGGTCCGAGGGAACAGCACCCTCCCTTGTCCTGACGGTGCCTGTGCCTGAGACTTCCTCTGTCTCAGGGTCAGGGCTGGCTGGAGAAGGAAGCCAGGCACAAAGCAGGATTCCTACCTGCAGCCGGATGAATGGTGGCTCCCTCAAAAGACATGTCCACATCTAACCTCTGAAACCCATGAATGTGACTGATTTGGAAAAAGAGTCTTTGCAGAAGTAATTAAGCAAAGGATCTCCAGATGAGATCATTGTGGATTAGCTGGTTAGGCCCTAAATCCAATGACAAGTATCCTTCTAAGAAACAGGAGAGGAGGCCGGGTGCAGTGGCTCACACTTGTCATCCCCAGCACTATAGGAGGCCTAGGTGAGAGGATCACTTGAGCTCAGAGTTCAAGACCAGCCTGAGCAAGAGCGAGACCCCTGTTTCTACTAAAAAAACAAACAAACAAAAAAAAAAAAACAGAGAGAGAGAAAATTAACTGGGCGTGGTGGCATGCACCTGTAGTCCCAGCTACTTGGGAGGCTGAGGCAAGAGGATCCCGTGAGCCAAGGAGTTTGAGGTTGCTGTGAGCTAGGCTAACACCACTGCACTCTAGCCTGAGTGACAGAGACAGAGTAAGACTGTCTCCAAAAAAAAAAAAAAAAAAGAGGAAAAAAGAAACAGAAGAGGAGAAGGAAGAAGACAGAATGAAAGACAGATGAGAAGGCCATGTGAAGACAGAGGCAGATAATGGAGTAACACAGCCACAAGCCAAGGGACACCTGGAGCCACTAGAAGCTGGAAGAGACCAGGAAGAATTTTCCCTCAGAGTCTTCAGAGGGAGCATGTCATGTTCCTCTGGACACCTTGATTTTGGACTTCTGGCCTACAGAACCGTGAGAGAATAAATTCCCATTGTTTTAAGCCAACCGATTTGCAGTAATTTGTTGCAGTAGCAACTGCAGTGAATACACTGCCCTTAAGGGGAGTACAGCCCAGGTGGGCAGATTAACAGGCAACAACATGAAGCAACATAGGGAGATAAGAGCCAACAACATAAAGCAACATGTGTACAAGATAAGGAAAGCGACATTCAGAGAAGGGAGCCACGGCAGACTAGGGGAATATGGGGAGGCTTTCTGGAGAAGGGTTTTTTGATTGTTTTTGTTTTTATTTGTTTGATTATGAGGAAGAATGTGGGGTGTTGTTGATGATAACAGAAAACATGAGAAACCAAAGCAAGGAATTAGGAATTTGCAAGGCTAGTTAGGTAGAGAGAGTAAGGAGACCAGCTTGCGTGGGGCAGACCTCAAAGCACCCTGGATACCAGGCCAGGGGACCTGGACACAGCAGGAGTGACATTCAAATATTAAACAACAGGTGGTGCAGGAAGGGAACAGACACTGGCCATGAGCAGCCGAGATTCCTGGAGGGCCTGGCTGCACCAGACATTGAACTCCTAGACACGTGATGGAGATCCAAGAGTCCTAGGGGAGGGGCCCAGGGCCTGGGCAGCAAGGGCACGCCTGAGCTCGGCCAGCAGCTGTCTTCCCATCTATTTATGTGTGGGAGGGAGGAGGCTGGCGGGTGGACCAGTGCAGCAGTTCAGGACAGACGTGACAGAAGCGGCCTGAATCCCGGGGAAGCCAAGGGAATGAAAAGCAGGATATGAGTAAGATACAATGCCGGCCAGACACTTCAGGCTCCCCCTGCCAGGCTCTGGGAACCGGGGAGCAACTGCCAGTCTCCGGGAACTCAGCGCACAGGCATGCAGGAAACCAGATTTAGAGGGAACACGTGAATTCAGTCACAGAGAAGTGGAATTTCAGGGAGGGAGGGAAGGCCGTCAAGACCAGCAGGCAGTGGGAGATGGGCATGGGAGCTCCAGAGAGGCCGAGGTTGGAGACCAATCAGGAAGCATATTGTTAACCAAAGATGCCACTCCGTGAGTGTATGCTGCACAGTGTGCTAGATACTTTCCCTTTATCATCTATTCCAGGGTTGGCAAACTGTGGCCTGCAGGCCAAATCCAGCCCACCATCACTTATATTATTTTTTTTTTTTCTTGAGACAGAGTCTCACTCTGTTGCCCTGGCTAGAGTGCCATGGCATCAGCCTAGCTCACAGCAACCTCAAACTCCTGGGCTCAAGCAATCCTTCTGCCTCAGCCTCCCGAGTAGCTGGGACTACAGGCATGTGCCACCATGCCCAGCTAATTTTTTCTATATATTTTTAGTTGGTCAATTAATTTCTTTCTATTTTTAGTAGAGACAGGGTCTCACTCTTGCTCAGGCTGGTCTCAAACTCCTGAGATCAAAGGATCTGCCTACCTTGGCCTCCCAGAGTGCTAGGATTATAGGCATGAGCCACTGTGTCTGGCCTTATTACTTATTTTTTATTTTGTTTAGAGATAGCCTCTCACTCTTCACCCAGGCTAGAGTGCAATGGCATAATCATAGCCCACTATAGCCTCAGACTCCTGGGTTCAAGCAATCCTCCCAAGTAGCTGAGACTACAGGTGCATGCCACCATGCCTAGCTAATTTTTTAATCTCTTTTTAGAGATGGAAGTCTCACTATGTTGCTCAGGCTAGTCATAAACTGGCCTCAAGTGATCCTCCCACCTCGGCCTCCTCAAAATGCTGGATTACAAGGTATGAGCCACCACGCCCAGCCATATTGTTTTTAAATAGATGAAAAAAACCAAAAGGAGAATAATCTTTTGTGACATGTGAAAAGTACAAGAAATTCAAATTTGTGCTCATAAATTGAAACACAGCCTTGCCTATTTGTTTACATATTGTGCACGGCTGCTTCTGTGTCACAACCGCAGAGTTGAGTAGCTACAACAGTGACTTACAGTCCACAAAGCCTAACATACTTGCTATTTAGACCACTACAGAAAAAGTTTGTTGACCCCGGTCTCTATCATCGACCTTCATAACGACCCTGCCACACCTACATTCTCACCCTCTTTTCAGATGAGACAGTTGACAGCACAAAGGTTCAACGACTTGCCCAGCGTCGTCGCTCAGTTTCTAAATGGCAGAGCTGGGATTTGCCAGGTCTGTTTGACTCCACAGCTCACGCTCTCTCTAAAATGTTATCTTGACCATCCGCCTGCTTAGAGGTGTGATTCTGATTACTTTTATTTTATTTTATTTTTTTGAGACAGAGTCTCGCTTTGTTGCCCAGGCTAGAGTGAGTGCCGTGGCGTCAGCTTAGCTCGCAGCAACCTCAAACTCCTGGGCTCAAGCAATCCTGCTGCCTCAGCTTCCCAAGTAGCTGGGACTACAGGCATGTGCCACCATGCCTGGATAATTTTTTCTATATATATTAGTTGGCCAATTAATTTTCTTTCTATTTATAGTAGAGATGGGGTCTCGCTCTTGCTCAGGCTGGTTTCAAACTCTTGACCTTGAGCAATCTGCCCGCCTCAGTGTCCCAAGTGCTAGGATTACAGGCGTGAGCCACCGCACCTGGCCCTGATTACTTTTATAATCTTGAGTTTTTGTTTTTTCAGTTTAAGTAACACATATACATGATATAAAATTCAAAAGGCACAAAAGGTCAGTGAAAATTTAGTCCCCTCTTCTCCTTAACTCTATGGGTTCCTCACCCAAAGGCATCCTCTTTTATGCGCGCACGCATGTGTGTCTGTGTGTGTGTGTGAGAGAGAGAGAGAGAGAGAGAGAATATGGAGATAGCATTTGAATTCACAAGCATGCAAGTTATTCATCTTGTTTTTACTTTAATATATACTGAACAATCATTCCATAGCAACACAAAAAGTTTCCTATTTTTGTTATTATGGTATAGTATTCATTGTATGAATGTACCACAATTTATAATTTATTTAACCAGTCCCTTCCAGCTTCCTGATTTAGAGTCTCTTTCTTCCTTTCTCTCTCCCTCTCTCTCTACTAAGAACTAAACCATGCTGCCGTAGGGTTTATTATTACTATAATGAAACAGCATCACAGTATTCAATTATTGGATGTGTTGACAGACATTGAGATTGTTTCCAATTCTTCGTTACTGTAAACAATCCTACAGTGAATAATTGGCTGGTAAGTTGTTTTACACATGTCTAAGTACAGCCACAAGAGGAATTCCTACAAGTAGAATTGTGTCAAGATGAATTCCTACAAGGGGACTTGTTATGCACAACTACAGTTTTGATAGATATTGCCAAACCATCCTCCGGAGACTCTACAGAGGGTATTCCAAGTGTAAGAGTGCAAAGGAAGTAGAGAAGAGAAAGAGCTAAGAACAGCTGGGATGGGGCTGAGTCACGGGGATCCCTCCTTGATGCGTTCTCTAAGGCAGAGCCAATGGGGGACTCACAGAGGTGGTCACAGATGTGAGAAGACCAGGACACACTCTGACAGCAAAAGGGACACGAGGGGAGAGATTAAACAGAGAAACATGTCAAATGGTGCAGAGGCCTACAATGATGAAAAAAAAGGGAAACTGGATTCAGGGATGTGGGGGAAGTAAGACAGGGAGAACAAGGATGGAAAGTGGCTGTCTAGAAGCAACTCCCTGGCCCAGGGCTAGGCTGGCAACCAGGAGAGGACCCTGAGAGACAAAGCCAAGGGGCTAGCAAGCTGGGGGAAGATGTTCCTACCTCCCTGAATTTTGCAGAAAATAATCAGCTGTTGGAAAAGGGGAAAGAGGACAGAGAGATAGAGGGAGCCCCACTGGGCCCCCAGGGTGGAAGCAGCAGGCAGAGTGATAATTAGATCTTGGGCTGAATCTCAGCCCCACATAACTCTGTCCTCTCCAAGCCCCAGCCCCCAGGACCAAGGGCAGGTGCCCAGCCCTACCACTCCCTTCCTCTCATCCCCAAGAGAGCAAAGGGCTAGAGTGGCAATAAACCAGCCCTCCCCCAGCTGTCAGGCCTCAGGACATCTCCACCTTCTAAGACTCCACCTCCTAAGCCACTCCTCCATAGGAGGAGGAGGAGGGCAAGAGAAGGAGAGAAGAGGAAGAGCCAGCTTGCGAGGTCCCTTGCTGCAGGAATCTGGCCTGGCCTGGCCAGGCCACACGCAGAAAAAGGGGAACAAACAAACCCACCCTGAGGAGGATGTCTCTATCCAATAGAAGAACGAAAGGTTTAGAATTAAAGAGCACCCACGCCACCTTGCCTGCCTTATCCATCTGGCCTCTAGGAGGCCCTTAATGGCTTTACCCTGTCCTTACCCATCTCCAATCTCTCCAGGTAGACTGAGCTGAGACTAGGCCCCTTGACACCCACAGAGCTTTCCCTACTTCCCAAAGTATCCCAGCACCCTAGGAATGGCCTGGAGCTCACGTTCAGTCCAAGCCCTACCTAGCTCCCTAAATGCCCCAGGAAATCCCCACTCCACCCTAACTTGTGCCAAGCAGGTCAGTCCTGGGGGTTTCCAGATGAGGAAGGCTGGTCCCAAGACCATGTGGCCCCAGTCCAGCTCAGCTCCTGACCAGACTTCAGGCTCTGGCCCTGGAGTAGGACTCCCATGGGGCCTCTGTCAGTGCAGGAATGGCACAGGCAGCTCAGGTCAATAGGAGTCATCACCACCTACACTTTCTGCTACTTCCTTGTGGAACAGGCTCTATCCCTGTTCCAGTGGGACTCGGTGGCCCATCCTGGCCCACAGATGTGCCCCCTTCCTCCAGAATCGTCATCTCACCTCTCCTCAGAGACCCAAGAGAGCTACTGTAAGGACAGGGAGAAGAGAGGGCCCGTAGCCTGACAGAGAGACTAGCCCAGGAAAGGGCTGGAGAGGAAAGCCCTTTCTCCACTTTCCAGAAATGGAGACCACCCCAGACTTGGCCCCAGCCCAGTCCTGGCCCCTGGACTCCCTCATCTTGGGTTCTGTTGTCCACTGAATTGTCCTAGGTCAGAGATGGGTTTCTACCAGAAAAGCAGTCTTGTGTGCAAAACAGCACAAGACTTTTGGAGGTCCCCCCTCTGGGGTGTCTCCCAGGCCTACCACTTATGGGCAGTGTTATCCTGCGCAAATTATTTAACATGAGAGTCTGTTTCCTAATCTAAAAAATGGGATAACTACTAACAGCACCATTTTTGGAGATTGACGTCATGAGACCTAAGTGAGAGCATGTGTGGCACAGCACTCAGTAAACTGTAGATTGCAAACAGATGTTATCAGTGGGACCCGCCCCTGCCCTGGAGCCCCACCTAGCCAGAACTGCAGTAGAGAGAATGGGGAAGGAACCCTGGATTGACCCTGATCCCAGCTGACTGTTCAGACCCAGGACGAAAGAGGAGGAGCCCTGGCCCCTACTTTGCTCTCATCCCTGGAAGTAAACAAGGCTTGGCTACCAGAACCTAAGCAGGGAGAGCCCTGTCTGGCTCACATGCACAGGCGCACACACCTGCCTAGACAGCTGACATCCCTTCCCTACCAGGTATACATAACAACAGGCTGACTCACCCAGCAACTCTCCTCACCCTGCACCCCAGAGCCTCTAGGGTACTGTGCCCACAACACAGCCCCTCTCCGTTTGGGTCAAGCGCAGACTGGGCTTGTCCTTTAGTCTCTGGGTTCTGACAGTTTTCCCGGACCACCAAAAAAGGTCAATCTGTTCCCAGGGCATAGAGAGATGCTAACCAGTCCCAAGTTCAGCCAATGAAGGAGACTGTGGTCAAGCTACTTGACAGGACCTCAAGGTGCCCAGGACAGTGCATGGCCAGGGTGCCTTTCTAGTGGCCAGGCTTCATCCAGACAGCTCGCTCGCTCTCTCAGCCTGTCGGTGCCGGGGGTCGGGGATCCTGGGGGCTGCCTCCTCTGTCCAGTACACACAGCCCGGAGCAGCAGGCCTCCGGCGTGAGCACCGGCTCATCACCTCCAACCACCCTGAATCCAGGAGCCAGAGTCTTGGCTCTAGGATGTCACCCATTTCCACTCACGTCCCCACTCCTTTCTGTACTGTTTATACTGCCTACTTTTAAGGAGGACTTGGGGTAGAAGTGGACTCTCCTCTTTAACTCCTTTCTGATGCTCACCTCCCCCAGGACCCCGTCACTAGCCCCTTTTCTGAGTTTCTCCAAATCCATCCATCCGCGCACCCTCCTCCTTACCCCCAAAGCCTTGGGTGCGCAGATCGCGGTAGGAGCGATAAACATCCCGAGTGAGGTAGTTGATGAAGCCTTTCTTGTGCGCGAACTTGCACACGAAGTTCTGCTCGTAGAGGCAGTTCATGAGGAAGCAGGCGGCGATGGCGTCCTCCCCGTGGTCGGGCTGTAGCTCTACCAGCGCCAGGTTGCAATTCGGGGTGGCGCAGCAGGCGCGCACGCAGTCCCAGCTACGACGCACCTTGGGGGACTCCAGGAAGGTGGCCCCGTTGCTGACCGAGGCCGTGGTGTCCAGCACGAAGCCAGGCACCCCGGCGGTAAAGCGCTCCAGGCAGGCGGCTCCCGCGGGCAGCCCGGGGGGCTCCGGGGGCGGCCCGGCTTCGGAGCCCTGGAGGCCGAGCGCACACAAGAGCCACACGGCGAAAGCAAGGAGGCGGGCCAGGACGGGACAGGCCATCGTCCTCCCACGGGCCGTCGCTCTGCTCCCCACGAGGGTCACCTTCACAGTGCGGGCCTCTGGGTTCTGGAGGTGCTTGAGACCTGAGAGGGGAGGGAAGAGGAGGAGACGCACCTGATCAGCCGGGCGGACTTTGAAGAAGGCGCGTCGGCCGGGAGGAAGTGGGGGGTGGAGGGAGCACAGGGCCCCCGGAGTGAAGTGCGGGACGCGGGCGGGGCCCTCCCGCGCACACTCCGGTGACCCGGCCGCCAGACGGACGGACGGACCGCTGAGGAGCTCACGTACCCGTACACACGCACGAGCGCAGAACAAAGGGCCAAACATGCTACCAGCCCGCCGCGCCTCCGCCTCGGCCTCACGCTCTGGGGCCCGGGTTACCTGCGCAGGTGAGTGGGGTGGGGCCCGGCCTGCTGAGGTTCCGGTCCCGGCTTCCTGCGCGGCCTGGGGCGCAGCTTCCGCCCCGATGCTCTGTGCGCCGGGGATCTGCCACTTCCTTCGCCTAGTTTCTGGTGAAACTGAGTCAGTGCGGTCGGGGCGGGACACACATTAACCCCTGCGCCGCCGGCCCCGCCCACGCCCGGTGCGCCTCGGCCGGTCCTCCCCGGCGCGGCTGCCCGCCCTGCGGTCCCTGGCCCCGCCCGCAGTCTGGTCCCCCGAGGGGCTCGCGGGCTCCGCCGGTCTGGCTTCGCGAATGGGCCCCGCGCCCCCTTAGTGCCTCGGGGATCCCGGAAGCCAGGGCACGGCCGGGACGCTGCAGCGAAGTTGGGCGAGCGAGGGTCCGGCGCTCCGGGGCGGCTGCCTCCGGCCTCCCTTTCCGGTGGAGGCCAGCATTCCCAGCCCCAGGCCTGAGGCGCTTGGGAAGCGCAGAGGAAGGAGAAATGCGGGAAAGCCGCATGCAAATGATCTCGACCTCGGTTGTCGATCTCCCCTCGGGGAAAACACTTCTTTCCGTGGCGGGAAAAGAACCCGGAAGCTGCATCTGCGATCACTGGAATCCGGGATGTCTGCCCCAGTGTCGCCGCCCTCGCCAGCCCCGGGAAGCCCTCCTTGCTGCCAGAGTGAGAAACGGAGGCGACTCCCGGAGCCCAGCCTCCCCTGCTTGACCCACAGTGTTCCCTTTTGTTTGAGGCCCTTCTTCATCTTGTATTGAGGGTTCCCTTCCGATCTGTTACCAGTCATTGGTGCAGTCACTGCTGCCCACGCCTTGGAGCTTAGGTTTCTTCTCTCCCACGCAGGAGGGGTGTTCCTGGCCACCACTCTCTTCCAGTGAAATGTCATTCTTGAAAGCTTAGGGGTTCCACTTCACCCTTCACAAAACCATGGGCTTCTTGAAGCCAAGCTCATCGCTCTTCCTGAGCGAAGAACTCTTAAAAGACCATTCCCTACACAGCTAGATTGGTCCTATTAATCCCAAAATAGAGACTGCAAACCTTTTAGTGATGGCTTAACAACCCCCAACCTAATTTCTCACCTAGAGCAGCTTTACCTAGTAGGTCCTATAGCCAAACCTTGGATCATTTTTCTTTGCTGAACTGGGGCATCCTCCAGCTGCCCACATTATGAGTGTTGGGGTGGGTCTCTGGGGTCTGTCTCCCCTTCCCTGGATTTTCAGGGTTCTTCTACAAGCCCTGGCACACCATAGGACATAGAGCGATGATGGGATGCTAGGAATGAAGCAAATGACTTTGCAGTTACTGGGAAGAAAGAGTGTTGTTGTGATTTGATCCTTGTCTCTCCCCCATAGCTTATCCATACAAGACTCCTAATACAGGGGAACATTATCTTATGGTAATATTATTAATACATTACCATAGATTTATCATTACATCCATTATACATATCATTACAAGAACCTGCATGTACTATTTTTTTTTTTTTTTGAGACAGAGTCTCACTTTGTTGCCCAGGATAGAGTGAGTGCCGTGGCGTCAGCCTAGCTCACAGCAACCTCAAACTCCTGGGCTCAAGCAATCCTGCTGCCTCAGCCTCCCGAGTAGCTGGGACTACAGGCATGCGCCACCATGCCCGGCTAATTTTTTCTATATATATTAGTTGGCCAATTAATTTCTTTCTATTTATAGTAGAGATGGGGTCTCGCTGTTGCTCAGGCTGGTTTCGAACTCCTGACCTTAAGCAATCTGCCCGCCTCAGCATCCCAGAGTGCTAGGATTACAGCCATGAGCCACCGCGCCCGGCCTGCATGTTCTATTAATAGCACTGATAATGCCCAAACCATGTTCCTAAGCACTTCCCACACATTACCCTATACTCAAAACAAACCAAGGAAGGTACTATTTTTATCCCCATTTTACAAATGAGCAAACAGGCTCAGACAGGTAACCTAACTTGTTAGGTCATACAGCAGTTGAGTGGCAAAGGAGGGACTGGAGCCCAGGCAGGCCAACTCCACTGCTTCAGTGCCTAAAACACTGGGCTTTATGGCACTTGCAATTCTGACTTCACCTTGTAGTTGTACCCTCACTTCAGATTTAACTTGCCGGAAACAACTCAACATTTGTTGAGATGCCTACTGTGTTCCCTCCAGGTGCTTGACGTACATGATTGCTAATATGATTGCTAATACGCACAACAACTCTGAGGATTGTTTGCACTTTGCAGAGAGGTTTATTAACTCCGTCAAGGTCAGGTAATGAAGAGTGAGAGACAGGTCATATAGGGGTTGAGCTTGTGGGCTTCAGACTCAGACCGCTGGATTTAACTCTTGCATCTGCCATTTATTATGATTATTATTATTTTTGAGACAGAGTCTCACTCTGTTGACCAGTCTAGAGTGCCATTGTGTCAACCTAGCTCACAGCAACCTCAAACTCCTGGGCTAAAGCAATCCTTCTGCCTCAGTCTCCCGAGTAGCTGGGACTACAGGCATGCGCCACCATGCCCGGCTAATTTTTTCCATATATATTTTTAGTTGTCTGGCTAATTTCTATTTTTTCTTTTTTTAGTAGAGACAGGGTCTTGCTCTTGCTCAGGATGGTCTCGGACTTCTGACCTCAAGCGATCCTCCCACCTCAGCCTCCCTTATCTACCGCTTATTAATACTGTGTGTGGCTTTGGGCAAGTTATTTGGCCTTTGTGTTCCTTAGTCTCCCTGAAACAGAAGTGAGGCTTCATAGGGTTTGCTATGAAGATTGGATGAGTTAATACAGACAGATAAAGCCTTTGATACCCTGAGTGCTCAATAAATGCTATCTGAAAAAAAGTGACAGAGCCAGGATTTTATCCCAATTCTCTCTGACATTGAAAGCCACCCTTTCTATGCTTCCTTTTTTTAATATACCACAGTGGCTAGAAGGTGCAGGTAAAAGCTACAGCTCAGGGTTTTCCATACTTCCTTATGCTCCTTCTTACATACTAAAAGGAAAAACTACCCATGAAGAGAAAAAAGACTGTAAGGAATTCCATAAAAGTGATAAAAGTGATGATATATGAATGGTGGGATATAGAATAATATTTTCTTCCTTCTAGTTTTTAAAATATTTTCAAAGTTACCTTTATTTTATTTATTTATTTTCTTAGAGACAGGGTCTCTCTATGTTGCCTAGGCTGGAGTACAGTGGCAAGATCATAGCTCACCGCAGCCTCGAACTCTTGGGCTCAAGCAATCCTCCTGCCTCAGCCTCCTGAGAAGGTGGAACTACAGGTGCACACCACCACACTTGCCTAGTTTTTAAATTTTTTGTAGGGATGGGGTTTTGCTATGTTGCCCAGACTGGGCTCAGGTGATAGCCTGACATTAGAATGTTTTAAAGGTTTAAGAAAACAATGTTTTATTTCAATATAGCTTAATGTTATACTCTTGGTCTTTGTTGAGATGTCTAAGTTATTTATAATAATATGGTCAGAAAACTTCTCATGCTGTTGCTAAGGGTCCTTTATTCCTCTATGCAAGGTACTAGTTTTTCTTATTCATATTATTCTATAATGTACTGTACACTCATGACCCTGGACATACTCTTGCTATGTTGGATTAATTCAAGTGCCTTTTTCATCAGGTTTTAACTTCCAAGTTATCTAAACACACACACATACACACACACCCACACAAACCCCAAACCAAAAAAGTAATCTCACTATAGAAGGTTTTTCTTTACATTTTCGGTTATTGGCCTAAAAGTAACAGATTTTATGCTTTAACAAGATAATTCCTGATCCTCTGGGGTTGCCAAGCTGGGAGGACAGAGGGGAGGGGCTCTTCTTGCAGGCGTCCACCTGGAGAGAGCCTGCCTGAAAATGAAGGCACTGCAGAGGCCGGCAGAGTCAGAAATGGACAATTGACCCGATGGCAGGTCTAACCCTGGATCCAGTGTGCCTGAAGCCATTCCTCTTAGATGAGACCATCAAATGCCCCCTTCCCTTCAGCCAATTTGAGCCAGATTTTCTGTCACTTGCAGAGAAATATTCCTAAATGACAACCACGGCTACTATTGTTTCCACCAAATCACAATCACAATCCCTGGTGGCCAATCTAAGTAACTTCCAGACTGACTTTTTTCCTCCTTCTGCTCCTCTGCTTACTGCCCCGGTGTGACACGCGGACAGACATTTCCCTCCAGCTTTCACCATCCCGCCCAATCCGTCTGACAGCCGGGAACTCTCTCTAACACGCTCACGTGTGTCCCACGCACCTCCTTAATCTCCTCCGGAAGATGCTCTGGGCTTCCCTTACTCTTGTTTTACGTATTTTGTTTGATTAGTCTCAGAGATGGCAAGAAATGATTCCAACGAGAGGACCACATCTGGCAGCAGGGGCGCTGAAACACAAGTCAGGAGACTTAAAGTTTTAGTCCCAGCTCTGCCACTGGAACTCTGGGGGGCTTTGCAGACCCTTGAGGATGTTGGACTTAAGTTCTAAAACCTTCTCATTCTGGGGTGCCCAGCCCGAGTCTGGATCCCTGAAGGTAAACGAATAGGTTCCCTGCTTTGTGTGAATGAGCACCCTTCTTCACCCTTCCTCAGCTTGCTGGGTTTCTGTCGTTTGCAAATGAAAGTACCCTGACTCATCTAGACAGCATGCTGTGGGAACACCAGCCTTCAGCAACAAGGCCCCGTCTTCAGGCGCCTGTCATCTGCCACGCACAGTGCCACTCGCTGTACCCACACTCCGTCCCCGCTGCGACCCTTGAGCAGGTTTTCATTATCACCCTTTCACAAGTGAGAGGTCGGACATGCAAAGGTGGCGGTCCAGCAGGGTGGTGGCTCTCCCTCCCTGAGCAGTCCAAGGCAATCCCTGCTCAAGGCCATCCTTTCTAGACCCAGCATGTCCTCTCGGCCCTCTCTCCCCACATCCTTGTCCCTGAGCATGGCCTAGGCAGATAAGGCTCTCCGGCGTACCTCCCCCTGGATTCTCACTCGGGGCCCTGCTGGGCCCTGGGGCTTTGAGGGGCTCTACAGCCAGGCCTAAGCCCAGGTCCCTGTCCTGGAGGCACAAGGTTGTGAGCCCCAGTGGGGTGCCGTGTAGAGCCCACTTATGCCTTGAGGGCTGGATGAGCCCAGGAAAAGAGGGGTTCTGTGGTCTCTGGCTTCCTTCCCCTGGGAGCCCTCCTGCCTGCATGCTGGGGCCCTTGTCCTGTCTGCCTCTCCTTGTGCACCTGTGGGCCCTCGAGTATTTGTCACCCGCTCCCACTTGGTTCATCAGGCTCACCAGTTTTCTTTGTTCTGGGTCCCCGCCCACCAATCCCCTCACACTCCAGTCTGCTCCTGTCCATTGCTGCTTTGTTTCTGCTGCTTCTCAAGTCTCGCTGCCTCTGTGGTCTTGGGTACCCTCCACTTTTCTGACTCCTCTCAGTCTGCTCTGTTTTTGTCTCGTTATCTGTCTCCTCACTCTCTGTCTGTCTGTCTGTCTGTCTGTCTCTGTCTTGGGAGTGCTCCCCCTCCATTTCTGCTGCCGCATCTAATAGTTCATTCTCTTGTGTCTCTGTGGCTCTCTGTCTCTCTTGTGATCTGTCTCCCTCCTCCTCTTCCTGCCCCTCCCTCCCCACATCCTGAGTTGTCTTTGGGGAACCAGAAAGTTGGGGGATCAGAGAGATAACGGGAGGCTGGAAATTTGGGGGATCAGAGGGATCATTATCTCTAGGTGGCCGAGCTGCTGCCACCTAGAGATAATGCCAGATGGGGTGGGGTGTGGGGACGGGAGC